TCGGACTATGTGTGGAGGAGATGCATGTGTTCACGTGGTTCCAAACACAGCCGAAGAAAACCTTCATACGGACCACCCCTTTATAAGAGATCTCGATCATACCCGTACTCTAAAGATGTAGACAGCTTCTAAAATGGACTGGGTCTGCATGATGGCTCCAGCAGGCCATCTCGAAATGTAGGTACCGATGTCTCGAAGGCTGTGTAGCCAGAATTTCAGATGGTTCCTTATTGGGCATATTGAAGCTGGGTGAAGTCGATCGTGGATAGGGTTATTGCGAGCATATGGTAAGACAGAACTTATTTGGGATGTGAGACTTTGCTTGTGATATTGGAAATAAGCTTTCAAATGTTTCCCCATCTAAATCTGGCAAGTCTATCAACAGGAGATTAATAGTCGGTAAAGAACAGGATTATCAGAATACCATTGGTGTTAACAGCACGACCAATCTGGTCTCCAGTACGTCTTTGGCTGGTGTCGAGACTGCTGTAGTTGCAATAAAGAATATCCTCTGAAAAGTCGAAGAGATAGGAATACCTCAGTTCGTAAAGAGATAAAAGGGTTGTTTGCCTTGAACACCGGGGGAGGAAGATGATGTAATCAAGGTTGGATGTTGAAGTTGACGTTGAAGTTGACAAACATAACGGGAACTAAACGGCTGTCAATAACGTTGCTCTCAACTCTACCTACGTAATGCGTGTTATAGTTTCAAAAGCTATATGTGATGTTTAGATTGTTCGATCAATCCGGTTTTACCCAATCCTCAAATTGCAAAGTGCATGCTCGTGTGACCTTGCAAATCCACCCGCAAGCCACACTTTAGACTTTTGCCGAGAACTAAAATCAAGTACCGCTAGCGAGGCGAAACGATTGAGTTAAGCTTAAGCCTTCAATGTTGGTCCAGCCGTGCATACTACATGTATATAGTTCGTGGAACAAACAAAACGAAACAAAGCGCACATCTGGATCGCCGTGGCGAGTGATCGGCTATGATGCAAATACGGTAGCGTGACCCTAGAAGAAAACCAAAAAAAAAATCAAAAAATCAAAACCAAACTGATGATCGTCATCGAACCATGGAGTCTGCGATGAGCTGAATTGAAGTGCATGGACAGCCAGGAAAATTTTCAATGAGAAGGCAAGGATCTTCATGTGTGAGGGCGGTTAAGCAGGCGCAAATTGATTAGCATCCCATCCCAAACTTAAGTGCAACTAGAGCGAACAAAGTGTAGTGAAGTGGGAAACAAGTTTGTTTCTTGCTGCTCTAGAAGTCACAGTAGCTAAGACTTCGTACAGGCTATGGCTGATCGTATCCATGTTTGTCTACGGGTGGCCTGAAACAAAAGCTCTGAAATTAATAGAAAATAGCCGCAGTAAGAAGCAAAAAAATTCATCATTACCCAAATACTGGGAGAAAAATGGATATATCCAAAGTTCGTCATAATATAACTTTAATTCCCAACTATCATTGTCGTCTCGCCTGATCGCTTCAGTCCCGTATCCCTCCGCGCATAAGTCTTGTTGGGATTCGAAATATCCATAACTCTATTGACTATTACCCCGAGTATATCTCTCAACACAAGCGCACATGAAATAGAGACAAAGCTACTAAAAAGCAATTAGGCCTCATCGTTAGTCGCATGGCTAGTGTAATATATGCTATAGACGCCACTTCCACCTGTCCCCTCCCGATGCATAGGATCTCTGTACATACTAATTGGTAGTGCCCCGTTTGCCATTTATTTCGGCGCCCCGCCTCGAGCTGCGGTTTCAGTACCCTGCATATGTGGAGAAGCGGGGGAGTACATTAGTTGCTTGAGTGCGCGATGAGGGGCACCGCGCCCGGGGTATATCGGCCAGAATCCTTGTGCCCTATATCGACAGTACATATATATATGTCGATGTCTGTTGACGTTATCATGCATGCAGATATATATTATATGACCCGGAGGTTATATATACAGCTCTGGATCGATGCGCATTTCTTATTGATGCGTACGCTTAAGCTTTGCTCTGCAATTAATTGGTCCCTTGGCATTCTCGCCGGCCGTAGTTAGGCCATAGTGGGTGAAAGCCCAAGTCAAGCACAAGCACAGATATGTCTGTCCCATTTCGATACTTGTAGGTGGGTATGTCCGCGGCCGGTTTTGGGGGATGCTAGTGTTCACGGTTATGTCACTTGACGAATACCACCTGCCGAAGATCAGTGGAGTTTAGGCCAATAGAAATAAAAGGAATCTAGAAGATCCCGCAGCTTGGATATTTCTTGCAATAATCAAAACCCCGGTTCAGAATTCTTCGAGGGATCGACCTTAAACGCCTGCAACTTCCAACCTCAAGAGCAGTTTTCATTTCGACAGCTGTCATCTAGCTGCAGCTGGATACATGAATGAGAGATGAGATAACCGATTTCTACTTCAGGGAAAGAGATCGATACAGGAAGCGATATGATATCATACCGCATCAGGAAGCAACATTGACGTCTACTGCACTATAAAAAATATGATGAAAAATAACGCCGCAAACCCTGACCTTCATTCGGCGCCGGTATAGGGAATCAATTTAGGAGAAACTGATAACTTCGGGTGGTAACACACAGAAGCACTCCTAGGTAGTAATCCATGAATATATAAACCGTCGATGCTGACCCCCCTTGTATTCTGTAAGACAAAAGCCGCAGCAAGATCTTAAGATCGGTGGAGGATCACAAATTATGATAGAATCTGTTGTCTCTAACTATGTATTACCCTAGCTAGAGAAGGATGTCTCAGGTCTGTATCGACGGTTTATAGGATATCGTAGACACCCACCTTAAATAGGACTAGCTTTGATTAGTAGTGAGAATTCCGAGTGATACTTCATGACATAAACTCAGACAGCTCCTTTTTTTTGTTTTTGTTTAATTCATACTCGCGTGCGCTCAGACAGGTCGTGTAACAAAGAGTGAACTCAAGGTACTTGTATTGAGATCCAGGGAGTATGAAGATATCTGCGTATCAATCTACTGATACTATACGGCCGAGCTAATTTTAACTCGATCATGTATATCTACTTTGCGTTGTAATGCCGGGCCGTGATATTGCGGATGCAAATGTTTAGATATATGGAAAAGGCCTAAAATGACACAGTTCGCTATGGTCCAAAATAGAAAGCCTACTCGACCTCACCCCTTGCTTCTCGACAGAAAAATAGCCTCCTAATTTATTTCACTAGAAAAATAAAATAAAAAAGAACAAAAGGTACTGCAACGACTTATTGTTAGAGAGCGTTACTACCCCCACCCCTGGTTTGAACCCAGGACCTTATCCTGGGTAAACACTCGGTGTCTAACCCGACGAGCAGTCTAACCCACTAGACCACTCGCCCATGGTATGCTGTGCTGGAAGTGATACTTAAGCTTGGCACTGTGCCAAGATGAAGCAGAACCCCTAACCCTTCATGTCAATGCTCAGCCATCTATAATATTCAATAGCTCGATCACATTTTTTCATTTTGGATTATAGCAAACTGTGTCATCTTGCATCATATGTTATTGTAGAACACATCTACCGAAAACTGTGTCATTTTGAACCTTTTCAGTTAGATATAATCTACCCTCGTTCAGGGCTTCACGAATGATGGATAGTAACCGTGATTTCACCCATGCTTTCTAGAAAAGGTTTCTAGTTTCTTGAGAAATTTAGGTATAAATATGCGCTCTATATACTACATATATGAACTCTACGTGAAGCAAATTCTGGAAAATAATTGTATTCTTCGGAACCTCGTTAAAAACCCGGTGGGAAAAGAGTGAACCGTACACAGAAGAAATACAATAAAGGCAAATAAACAAACACAAATTGAAATGGGCTGGGGGAAGGGTAAGTAAGTAAACAATCTTTTTTGCAATAGGCTAGGGGAAATAATTAAACAGGGAGCAGGTAAACATCGTTTCTCAACATATGGGCATAATACACGTATTTTCAACGGGCTAGGGGGATAAATAAACAAGGTGTAAATAAACAGCGTTCGATCCCAAACATGTGGGTATAATACAGGTATTTTCAATGGGCTAGGGGAATAAATAAACAGTATCCCAAACATATGGGTATAATAATACACATATTATCAATGGGCTAAAGGGGATCGAATAAATAAATAAGGTGTAAATAAATAGTGTTCCTAAATATGTGGGTATAATATAGGGATTTTCAATGGGAAAGGGGGAATAAATAAATAAGTCAATACTCGGTAATAAGAAATGAATGGAGTAGGGAGAATACAAGATGTGGAAATAATCAAAGTGGGAAAAACAGTAACCCACAAATAGACGATAAGAAATAGGATAAGAAAAAAAAGAGAAAAAAAAAGAAAAGAAAACATATAGGGGCCTTTGGTACCGCCGACACCCATTGCCATAACTGTAAGGTTGCATGCAATTAATGAATTAAACAAAAAAAAAAAAAAAAAAAAAATACCGCCGACACCCCCCAAGGAAAATTAAAAAATAAAGGGAGGAGAGGAACGAGAAGGAAAAGGCCTTTATACTCGGTAGAAACAACAGGGCTAGGGTAGAAAATCTCGTAAAGGCCACTTTGTGTTTAAATATACGTATTGCGTTTCGTATGAACAGATATGTTATGAGAAACTACACGCGGGTATGTAAAACTTATGAAGTAAAGAACCCATGAAGTTTTACGGATTTATGGCTATCGTAGGATAAATACTATGTCTATATGATGTAAGTATTCCACTTTATAGGTTTTAAATGAACTCAATTACGATAACCTTCGTGTACGTGTATACGTGTACACATCCATATTAAACTCAAAGGAACTCTGTCACAAATTCTTGCTATCTGGGTAGATTCTATTCATCTTAAGGCGACTTTCATAACGTCTGATAGGATGCAAGGAATAAAGCGCTCTAGCAAACTAAAAGGCGAGCATTCAAACATCATCGAGGAGGAACTATATACCATTAAGCTCCTAAATGTATGTAGCGAGCAACCCCCAAGAATTTCAATGTCTTCCCCATCTGTCCACAAATGCTTTCTTCTCCCTACCCTGCCCATGTAAGTCACCGCCGCTCCTCTGCAACTCCTCCAAGCCTCTCCCCAGCCCGCCCATTCTGCCCGCCACGGCATTGACTTTCCGCTCAACTTCTTCAAGGCCATCCATGAGGTCCTCCGCAATAAATGACATGACCCCTCGCTTTCTTGCCGGCGGAGGATACACGTTCGCCCATACCAAAGCGTGCTGAGCGATCCTGGCCACGTTCCAGAACTCACTGATGGCCTCGCGGATCTCCATCTCAGCCGAGAGGTCTTGCTCTTGCGTCTGGAGCTTCTCGAATTGTTGCCGGACATGCGCATCCAAATACTTATATTTCGAAGCTGTCAACTCTTGGGAAACTGCAGGGCCACCTTTAACCGGCGAGGCAAATAAAGAACTTGCATTTGGTGCTGGGGTGGATGGCACAGGAACACCCAGAAGCGTGAGCATTCTCAGCTCCGGGAGGTCATCTTCAACATTTCTGGCATCTCCCCCAAGGCTTCCACCACGGCGGCGATTTGGTGGGGTGAAAATAGGCATGTTTTTGAAAGGGTGTGGATTCTTCACCGGCGTTGCAGGTCTTATAGAAGAAGTATCCGCTTTCTGATCATCATTTGCTAGTGGGGTTTCAGCTTGCTTGTTAAGAGGTGATTTAGACTCCTGTTCTATGGTAGCAATTATCTGGGATATAGCCCTTGCTTTTGCGAGGTCTCTCTTTAGCCTTTCGGCGGCAGATGCGTTGCGTTTTTGTAAGTGCATCAACACGTCACGAATCTGGGGATTAACAAGCGTGAGTACTTGCCTCGGTTTTGGTACTGCCTTGAGAAAGAGATACTTACATATGCACCACCAACCTGCAGTCCTTCACTTGCCTTCTTTTTCCCATTCTCTACTTCTTTGATAACTGGCCGTAAGTATTCCTGTTCAGCAGCCATTTGAGCTACTGAAGGTATCTCAGAATATAGACTTTCCAGGTCTTGCTTGAGCTCTGCAATGGCATCTGCATCAGGGTTATCGGCTGAATTGGTATTATTTTTTGGGTTGACGATTTCCAGGAACATGCGGTCCAGTCGGGCCTTTAATGAGGCGGCGGATAGCATTGATAGCCTGGGCAACGATAAGATTAGACTTGAGATTTACACTATCCAGGATCGAGAGAGTAGCAAGCAAAGATCCATACTTCTTAACCAATACTGTGACCCTTTCGACAACTTCGTTGCCCTCAGCTCCCTCGTCCCCACTTACGATAACCCCATCTGCCAACCGCCCGAGCCTCCCGAGAACCCTATCATCACTACGCAGCATCTTCTCCACCCCCTCCAGATCAACAGACGAAGCCTTCGTATTCTGCTTGAAGTCAGCGACCTCCTCCCGTAATATCCCCAACAGATCATCAATCTACACAACCAAACCCGTCAGCCATCCAGTCCCCACCCACACACACAAAACCCAGTGCTACAACTCACAGCAGCCTGCTCATTCTCCATCTCCGCCGCCCACTTCATCCTCCGCCTCTCCTCCATCCTCCTCCGCCCCTCCTCCTCCGCCCCCGCCTTCGCCTTCATAGCCCTCAACATCGCGCCCTGCCTCTGCAGCTGCGCCGTCTGCCGCCGCAGCATCTCCGTCGACCTCGCCAACTGCTCCGTCTCCACCCGCAGCTCATCCTCGAACCTCGGGCGCACCGTATGGAGCTCCGGGTGCTGCTTCTGCAGCTTCGACAAGGCCCCCGTCTTCTTGAGGTGGTTGTAGCTACGAAAAATGATCAGCACACTACTATGCCCTACGACGGATCGCAGATTGGGGGGGGGGGGGGTGTTCTCACATCTCTGCTTCTTCTAGAGACACAAGCGTATCCTTACCCAGATACCGCTCCACCCAGTCCGTCACCGGCACCGCTGTCTTGGTGTTGCTGAACGCCCAGGAAACATCGTCGCTCGTCAACGGGATCTGGTGAGACTCGAGCTCGCGCAGCAGGCGCGACTGAGCTTCCGAGGGGTCCATTGTTTGTGGTGGTGGTGGTGGTGGTACGTGGAGGGAAGCTAGCTTCTGGTCAATTCGGTATTGGGGGTGGTGGTGGTGGTGGTGGTGGAGGGAAGCTAGCTTCTGGCCAATTCGGTATTTGGGGTAGTGGTAGGAGCTCAATTCGCCGGGCGCAATTGCAAGTAAGGAGAGCTTCGTTTCATTATACAACCAGTTGTTCAAGATCGAGAGAGGCTCAACCACCGACCGACCGGGGGGGAGCTGGGCCCTGGGGTGACATCAACAAATGTCGTTGAGCTAAGCTCACGCTAAAAAGCTTGGTCCCTGACACGCGCACTAAGCCACAAGCGGTCACCGCATTATCTCTCCGAGCTGAGCCGAGGTCACCAAAGCATAAAAAGATGGGGTTTCTCCGGCGATCTCTAGTACTCTACTCCATGACCGGCTCTATTTCATTTCACAAGGCTGCAGTTTGGATTTTACTTCTTTTTTTTTTTTTTTTTTTTTTTTTTTTTTTTTTTCCTAGGGCCGCAAACATGTCGTCGTCGTACATCACCACCCGCCCGGCACTGGCCGCAATATCGGACGGTTTCTTGGCGCTATCATTGGTATGTACGTTCCTGAGTCATTCCTAGTTGGGCGACGGACGCTAATATTTTCAGTAGACAGTGCGCTCGTCGTGGCGGCGGCTGCTGGTGTCGTGGGTGTACACGCCGGCGGGGATCTTTCTGATCCTGCTAGCGTGCTGGGGCGTGGATTCGGCGATCAGGCTGACGGGGGTGTCGTTCCCGGCGAGCGTGGCGTGTATGATTTTGTTGTTTGCGGGGCTGGTGGGGTGTGAGGTGGTGCTGGGGGAGCGGAGGACGAGGGGCGTGGTGAGGGTTGTGGATGTGCCTGTGAGTGTGTGTTGTGGAAATGATTGTGGCTACCGGTAAATTGAGTTTGGGCCGCGTTGAGAAACGAGGCCTGGGCTTGGCTTGTTGGGTGGTGACAAGCGTTTTGCAATTTTTGTTATTTTGTGGTGGATTTTTAGTCCGCAACTAAAGCCTTGCCTTATTTGTCTGCGTTCTGTCATCATCATTGGCTCACCAACTTACTTAATTTGTTAACTTTATAGACCGGTTTCGCCTTACGATATATCAACGTCTTCTTTACACCCAGCTTCATACTCTTGCCTCTCAGCCCAAGCATAGGCGGCGTCGAAATCGGCAAGATAATAGCAATCTTTAGTTAGCCCACCTCCCCCGGCATATTTACCTACCCATCACTAACCACCCGTAGTAATCGGCTTCGTCGTAATGCTCATCTTCACCGCCTACCTCGTGCAGGCGCTGCAAGTCCTCTTCAAGACCTCCAAGCACGCGGACGAAAGCGCCCCCGAGTCAATACCCCTGACCAACACGCCCCAAGCGCGGTCTATCGGCAACACACCCCAAGACTCACTCCTCAACCTAGAGACAGAACTTGTATCGCCGCAGCCCGCAGCAGAACCAAACCACATCCGCGGCCCAGGGCCGCAATGCGCTTTTGCCTCGCAGACGCCTGCGCTGCTGTCAATTCTCCGGCAGGAGGGGAGTCCGCTATCTAGGCCACAGAGATGGGCTGCGTTCTTAAATACTCACCTTGATACCGCTACGTATTCCCTCTTCCTACTCATAGGGATCGTAGTGTTTTACACCACATCCTACGCCATGCCACTCCACCTCTCCCTCAACGTCCTCACCTACACCCTCTCCCTCTCCCTCCCCCCCAAAGCCCGTCGCATCCTGCACCCCGTCCTCACCACCTCCCTGCTGACCCTCCTCCTGCTAACGCTCCTCTCCCTCAGTACGCACCAACCCCTCCCCACCACGCTCAAGACTTACTCAACAAGCACCCGCTACCTCTCCCTCTTCCGCGGCCAAACCCCCTCCCTCCCGCTGCCAGGCGCCGGCGACATCTTCGCCTCCGTCCTCGACGCCTCCATCGTCTCCCTCGCGCTGCCCATGTACACGCACCGCGCCTCCCTCCTCACGCACCTCCCCAGCATCCTCCTCCCCTGCACCGCCCTCGCCGCCGCCTCCCTCTTCGCGTACCCCGCGCTCTGCAGCGCCCTCGGCCTCGCCCCCGCGCGCGCGCTCTCCTTCGCCGCGCGCAGCCTCACGCTCGCGCTTGCGCTCCCGGCCGTCGGGAACCTGGGCGGCGACGCGAACCTGGCCGCCGTGCTGTGCATCATGAGCGGCATTGTGGGCGTGCTGGTGGGCGGCGGCGTGTTGAGGGTCGCCGGGGTGAGGAGGGAGGACTATGTGACGAGGGGGGTGGCGATGGGGGTTAATGGTGGGGCGATTGCGACGGCGGCGCTGGTGGTGGGCGGGGATCCGAGGGCGGCGGCGTTGGGGGTGTTGGCGATGGTGGTGTTTGGGATGGGGGTTGTGGTGTTGACGGCTGTGCCGGCTGTTGTGGGGACTTGTGGGTGCCCTTTCTTTTTGTGTGTTTTAGATTGTAGGGAGAATACTGATGGTGTTATAGTGAAGGGCATGGTGGGAATATAGAGAGAGGGTGGAGTGGAGTGGTGGGTATGCGGGGTTCTCTGTGGTGGGAGGGCGGTGGGGGGGGGGGGGGGACGTTGCGGCGTGGGCGTGGGGTCAATGATCACTACATGTAGGTTCACAGGCTATCATTCGCACTAGTCACAGCCCATCACTCGGCGCGTCGTTCTCCCTCCACACCACAGGCGGGCGGCCACGTGTGTATGCAAGCCCGAGACAGGGCCCTAACGAATGCGTCCGTGTCATCTGTACATGACTCTTGCATGCCACATGTCATTGCCGTGGCCCCAGTGCTCGTTCGCGTCGATCCGCGTCCGTGTTGAACTAAACTCTGACTCGATCATCTCACCTCTCCTCGTCCCATCTTGCCTCGTCTCGTCTCGTCTCACTGCCATCAAGCAGACCCTCAAAACCATCCCAAGAACCCTTAAAACCATCAAAACCAGCAAACCCCCCTCACCCCAATGCCACCCACCCGCACCACCCCCTTCACCTCCACCTCCACCTCCACCTCCACCACCCCCCCCACCACCGCCACCGCCACCCGCGCCAGCACCCGCCCCCCCTGGTCCACCACCACCGCCTGGTCCACCCTGCACGCCACCCACCACCTCACCCCCTGGGGCCACCGCACCACGCGCTACCACACCGCGCTCTCCAAGAAGCTCTACCTGCGCTTCGGGCTGCACAACGCCGGGCTGGCCAGCGGCTTCTGGCGCGAGTGGGCGGCGGGCTGCATCGTGGCGCAGTGCGACGAGGGCGTGTTTATGTTCAGCCACGACTTTGGCTATGCGTGTCTTGTGGCGGTGGGGTTTGGGAAGGCGGTGGGGATTATACGCGGGGCCAGGGATGAGCAGATGGAGGGTGCGTGGAGGAGGATGGGGGGGGTGTATGATGCGGGGGCGGAGGGGCAGTGGCCGGGTGATGGGGGGGATGGGGAGGAGGAGGAGGGGGGGAAGTAGTGGGGGATGTGGGCTTGTGGTGGCGACTAGTAAATGTATCAATTAGGCCATGGTTCCGAGGTTTGTTCGGATTCGTGGCAGGGGTTCAGTGATGTGTGTAGTATCAATTGAATTGAGTTCAATTGGCTAGATTGAGCTGTAGCACGAACCGAGTGATTGTTGCTATATGTCTTGATCGTTAGTAGCTGCGTATATAATCTCCCATATTCAGGTAACAGTTCACATCTGAAGCACTAAACACCGGTGACGGGCATCAGTACCAACATCAGTACCGATCATCAGTACCAACCGGTATAACTATCAGTACCCATCAGCACTAACCATCACTACCACTACCACCACCACCACCAACCAACCAACCAACCAACCAACCCCATCCGCACCCAGCCTAGCTTAACAGATCATCACCATCCCGCCATTACCACACCGCCAGGGCGACAACCGGTACTCTACCCGTATTCAAAGCCCATCCTCAACACCGGCGACAGCGCTCAGTGTCGACTTGACCATACGGCCATCTAATAGCAGCTGGATCTAGGTATTCTGTATATACCTACTTAGGAGTTGAGTTACATACAAGCCGTCAATTTCTTGGTATTCGCGCCTCTACACTACACTACACTACACTACACTACACTAGCACTACAAACCCGACCGAGTGACAAGCCATGACCACACCCACCCCAAAGCACAACCACAAACTAAAGCACCAACGCAACAAATTACGATATTTATTTACCGTCTACCTACGCGCACCAAAAGCCGACACAAACAAATCCTTCCCCCCCCTCCTCCTCCCCTCTCTCCTCCCTCCCTGCTTCCCACTACATAGTGCACGCACTCCCGCTAACACAACCCAACCCAAACAAACAACTATACCTCCTCCTCCTCCTCCTCCTCCGCCAGCCTCTGGTACCTCCCGCCCGCGCCACCCCCACCGCCACGCACCCTCATCCTCGGCGGCGTCTCATACATATTAAAGTAATCCACCACGCCGCCGCCCAGCAGCGCCTCTCCGCCCCCCTCCCTACTCGGCCTCAGCAGCGGCGCCGGATCACACCAAAAGTCCTTACAGTTGGTCACAATCCCCCTTGAAAACGGGTTGCCGCGCGCGCGGGCGGCGCCGCCGCGGTCAGAGGTGATGTTCACGAACGCGCCGACGCCGAGCGCCTTCTTCACCTTCGTCCAGCACGTGTCCGTGTTATGCGGGCGGTGCCCGTGCCCGTGCCCGTGGTGGCCGCGGGCGGCAGGGTCGGGGCCGCGGTGGCCGGACGTCAGCTGCGCGCCGTCCATGGACGAGGAGCCGGCGGCGATGGTGGACGCGATTGTGGCGGCGACCTTGTGTTCGTTGAAGTGCGTGTGGCTGTGGCGGCTGCCGTGCATGCTCTCGTATGTCGTCTGTGCGCGCGCGATCTGGACGAGCTGGACGACGAGCAGCATGGTGACCCATGTGGTTTGCAGGCAGCCCCAGAGGCAGATGTAGACGGTGAAGGGGTCCTGCAGGACGGGGGAGCAGAAGGGCTCGGCGAGGAGGGCGCAGGTGGGGTAGGTGGTGAGCTGGGGGAGGAGCGTGAAGTGGGTGATGACGAGGTTGACGAGGATGAAGATGCCGAGTTCGAGGCAGAGGACGAAGAGGAAGAATTGGCGGTGGTTCTTGACGCCGATGCAGTTGAAGACCCAGGGGCAGTGGCTGTCATGGGATGGGGTGGTTAGTGGGGGGAGTGAGGGGACGGGGAGAGGAGGTGCACTGACTGGTCGTGTTTGGCGACGCATCTGGCGCAGCGTTTGCAGTGCTTTGCGCGCAGGGGCATGCGCACCATGCATTGGACGCAGAAGTTCTCAGAGTCGTATTTCCAGAGGGTTAGTAGCTCCTCGATCACGGCCTTTTGCTCCGTGACGCTGGAGAGCTTCGGGATGTATCCAGGGTCATAGAGCATGCAAACTATGTAGAAGTAGACGCAGAAGCCGAAGACAATGCCAAAGAATATGTTGCTGAATGGGACGGTGCCAAACGTATCTTTTAGGGCGCAAAGAGAGAAGAGAAAGTCAACTTATGCTCCCCCACTCATGTTTTTGTAGGAACCGTTTTTTTCTTTTTATATTCAGAGAAGTAATACACAAAGGAGGGGTTATTACTAGGTAATATGTGGAAAATCCATCTCTCCGCAATCCAGAACGCCGTAGCTCCAAAGATACCTGCCAAGTAGGGCGTTTTATACATCGCCTTCTCGCCATCCCCATAATCCAGCGCCTTATCCGCGACCCAGTGCAACCCAGCCCCCACCGCGCCCGCAACAGGAATCCCCAGAAACCACGGCAGCTGCGCGAGACACGTAGTGACCGCCCAGACCACGACCGTCGGCCAGCAGAAGAAGAACTTGTGCAGCACGGCCGTCTTGTCCTGCACCCGGACGCCCAGTATCGTGCCGGTAGGGTGCAGCGGATTCCCGTCCCGGTCGTATCCGCACTCCTCCAGCGCATCCCACCAGACCCGCTGCGTCTTGAGCTCCTCCGCGACAAGCGCCGGCGTCTTGCCGTCGTTGTTCTTGACGAACCGGTCGGAGCCGTACTCGATGAGCTTCTGTATGCACCCGAAGTTGCCGCGCACAATCGCCCAATGCAGCGCGGTAAAGCCGTTGTCGTCAACCGCATGTATGTCCGCGCCCCAGCGCAGGAACAGATCTACACTCGACGCATACCCCTTATACGCCGCCCACATTAGGCTTGTGTGCATCAGCGGGTCTCGAGAGTCCACGGGGATGCCCTGGTGTAACAGCAGCACCAGCAGCAACAGGTTCCCGTCAAATGTTGCAAGGTGGAGGATATTGTAGCCGCTGCTATCGGCGAGTAGGGGGTCAGCACCGTTCCGGAGGAGCAGGTTGACGGTGTAGTAGTGGCCGCGTTGCGCGGCCCACATGGCAGGAGTTGAGACCGAGTCGCCGCCCTTTGCGTTGACGTCGGCGCCGCGCTCTATAAGCAGCTTGCACACGGCGTAGCGATTGTTGATTGCAGCCCACTACATCTGTTAGCGGTGCGAGGGGGGAGAGGATTGATATAGGGATGGAGGGTATGAGGGGGGTATTAATCACATGTAGTGGCCCGATCCCGTCAGCGTCGGTCCAGCGTGCAGTGATCTCTCCTCTATCGAGAAGGGCCTTGACGGCGACCTCGTCGCCCATCATGCTCAACTTGATGATGTCGTCCTTGAGCTCCAGCTCGGGCGGCGGCGAGCTCGCCATCATGTCCCTTAACTCAACGGTGTCCATATCCACCGCGGGTGGCGCAACAGAGCTCTTTGAGGGCGTGGGGAACCCTGGCGGCGCATTTGAGCGTTGGTTATCATGGCGCGTGGAAGAGCTGGCCATCTAAAGTGAGTAGGAAAGGGATATCTCCCTAATAGAAGTAGTGGGTGGGTTGTGGTGGATGTAGTGGCGGGTGTGTGGGGGGGGGGGTTTGGATGGTTCGGGAGAGGGCAACAAAGCTAGGCAAGCAAGCAGTGCAGAGAAAGGGCAAACAGGTAATAGGGACCTGGAACTGGAAGGGGATGATATCGATGGGGTGCCGGATAATATATATTATCTGTAGAGCAGAATACTACGTATGTAAAATAATGCAGTAGTAGACAAAGAATGTAGGAATCAGCCTCGCCCGTCTGTGCTTCTCTTCCCAGGCCCTTTTCTTTTTTTTTTCTCTTACACACACTCTCTCTCGCTGCCTGTTGCCTGCGCTGCTCGCTGCTTGCTGCTTGCTTCCTTTCCTTCCACCTTCCTTCTCCTTCTTCTTGATCCGTTAGTTACTTCTCCAGCGTCCAGTGGACCCTAACTGAACCCTTGCGCTTTGCGCGGGAGCTCGGCTCGCTCGTCGCAACAACACGTTGCCAAGTCGGAGGTCGCTCTCACGTAATCCTTGGCTGCCTCTGTGTCATTGAATATCACTCGTCTCGAATGCTGGGTGCTGGGTGTCGAGGGCCGCCAATCAACATTCTACAGGAGAGCTCGAGTGTCGGAGTCGGTGTCGGTGTGTTGATGGAAACACATTATATAGAGGCTTTGGTTCTAAGAGACCTTGTCTGTGACTTGGCTAACATGGCTAACATGGCAGTATGGACAGGTCTTGTTCCGCCGGTGATCTGTCTTTTGTACAGCTCCCCGGACTGCTTGCGTAGTGTAGAAGTGCGTGCACATACGTGGACAAAGATGACGTCTTGTACGCGAATACATGCATCCGAATATGGTGTTCCAGAAGGAAGCTGGCTCTGTTCGAGGTCTTTGCAGTGGCAGGCTTTAAGATTTGTGTTGAGAGAAGTGAAAAAAAAGAACCAACAGTTTATTCCAGCACCTCAATCTGTCAAATACCAGAGCTCTTGACCTACTGATCTTGCATCAGGGCTAGGCTTACTACAGCCTCAGAGCCCTATCTTTAGCCTAGCCCGCTCTACCTGCCTCCGTCTATCCTTGCCACACATTACCTTAAATTCTCTTTCCCGGTCTGCTCTACCTCTCCCTTCCCCACCTCTCAACTCCACACTCCACTCCGCCCCACACGCCTCACCACCAACCCCCCATTTTACTTCTGCTTCGTGCTTCCCTTCTGTCCGTGAGAAGTATGTTCTGTTTCATGCAGCTGGAGCGGACATGTTGTTACGGACAGAACCGAACGCAGGAATGCAGAGGTTTGGTGTGGTGCGGTGTGTGGTGATACTTGCATATTTTTTTTTGCTTCTCTTCTGCTCCATGCCACTTTGTGCTGCCCCGCGGGGAGGGGAGGTTTTTGATTCAACTGCTGGCCATGCCACTACCGATCATGTGTTAAAGAAGAGTAGGCGCCAGAAACCCCGGAGGGCTGACTGACTACTACGCAGTGGATCGTAGGAAGTAAAGGTAGGTGGCATTCTGTGCTGTAAGAAGTCGGTTTGCTCTATAGTCGTTACTGTACTGCCTTTTCTTGAGTTCAGATGATGTAGGTTCCCCTTTGAAACACCCCCTAGATTGTATAGAGCCGTGCCTACGTACGCGTTTTGTCAATAGTGGCGAGAGGTCATGGACTATGGCCGGAGATATGCTACTACGAGGGGTGGATTTATTGAGGTTGGGTTTTAGTATGTATTGAAACACCACCCATAGGCACAGACAACTAAATCCATAGCATAGCTGAGTTCAAAGCCCACTTATCCATGAATGTCGGGTATGGCCATTGAGCCATTATCTGACAACAACCATAGCTATCGTAGCCCCGCGGCAGATTTGGCTTGGTACGTTGATGGGAAGGCGAGAAGGAGAAACTGGGTACTTACGGGCCCGGCGCGGCGGGTAGGCGGGTTTTATTATTTTTTACTAGTGTAGTAAGTACGCACAATGCTCTACCCTGCCTTACCAAGGGGGCTCGGGGAGATGGGCTCAAAGCTAGCTCTGCCGCGCAAACAGACATGCCCTGGTAGTGTAGTGGTTAACATACCAGAAACTCAGCACGTAGGTTTAGAGCTGTGAGGAGATCTTGGGTTCGAATCCCAATCGGGGCAGTATCAATTCTTTTTTTCTTTCTATTTCTCTCGCTCCCCGGCAGGCTGTTATCTCCATAGGCGTCGCATCCTCACCTTCCAGGTTCCGCATCTTCCAGACATGCCCTGGTAGTGTAGCGGTTAACATACCAGAAACTCAGCACGTAGGTTTAGAGCTGTGAGGAGATCTTGGGTTCGAATCCCAATCGGGGCAGTATCAATTCTTTTTTTTTTCTATTTTTCTCGCTCCCCGGCAGGCTGTTATCTCCATAGGCGTCGCATCCTCACTTTCCAGGTTCCTCACTTTCCAGGTTCCGCATCTTCCAGACATGCCCTGGTAGTGTAGCGGTTAACATACCAGAAACTCAGCACGTAGGTTTAGAGCTGTGAGGAGATCTTGGGTTCGAATCCCAATCGGGGCAGTATCAATTCTTTTTTTCTTTCTATTTCTCTCGCCCCCGGCAGGCTGTTATCTCCATAGGCGTCGCATCCTCACTTTCCAGGTTCCGCATCTTCCAGACATGCCCTGGTAGTGTAGTGGTTAACATACCAGAAACTCAGCATGTAGGTTTAGAGCTGTGAGGAGATCTTGGGTTCGAATCCCAATCGGGGCAGTATCAATGCTTTTTTTTTTCTATTTTTCTCGCTCCCCGGCAGGCTGTTATCTCCATAGGCGTCGCATTCTCACTTTCCAGGTTCCGCATCTTCCTACCTAGGAGCCAAAGCTACACAACCTCCTCCAAGTCTCGCTGTCTGGGCTTCTACGCCGGGACGGGCGGAAGCTTACCAGCTACTGATTCTTACCTGTGGCGCTCTCTGTTGACTTTCCATACCGCGCGCGGTACTTTCTCTGCTCGTGGACGGAGCCCTCCACCGCTTTCGCTCTGAGTGACTTACATGTAACGGACGATTTCTTTTTTCTGATTTCTTTTTCATTTTCCCTACTTTTGTTTTCTTTTTTCATTTTCTCTACTTTCCGCTCTACCGCATGTGGAAATTTCTTGATGGGGGGAGGTGCTTTCAAAATGAAAATGAAAGGAAAGGTAAATCCCCCGTAGATCTAAGCAGCGACGGTGGTTGTGCTGATTATGGGGGATCGATGGTAGCGAGTTGGTGTTCATTGATTAAAGCCGATGGTGACAAGGGTGTAGGGGAGTACACGTACGGTAGTCCATAAAACGTCAAAGAAGTCAATTTATAGCCCGTCGAAGTGCGCCGAGAGGGCATACAGTCGACTACACGTATTGCTACGGATAACTTTAGGCTGAGCACCTTGTCGGGCTTCACTTGTTCGCAGCTCATTTCGATAGACTGATGTTTTTCATCCTATACTACATAGCAAAGGTTTTTTTAATCCAGATTACGTGGGGTGAATTCTTCGAGTGATAATCCATGATCACCCGCTTGTGGGCAACGACACCCGAAGGAAGCGGCATACAGAAACACCGCATTACCCCATGTCCCCCCCTTCTATTCCCCAATTGTGGCGGTACCCTGGTTCGAGCTGCCGCACTACCTAAGCTCGCACCCAGCCCTCACAAGCAAGCTGCTCGTTGGGCATGGCTACGGGTAGGTGACGACGCAACACCCTACTACGAGGGAAGCTCACACTAACGCAGAGTCCCGAAGACTCACTATCAGATTATCTGGTCTATCTGTCCAGAATTCGAAGCTTGGCCCCTTTGGCTATAAGCTCCCGTTTCTTCGCTCCCTCCTTTGCTCTTTCTCTTCTTTTTCCTTATCTTTTTTTCTCCCTCTTTATTTACGACACAACAACACAACAACACAAGTGGGCACTGGGGGCGAATTGGCACTGGGGAAAAATGGGCACTGGGGCAAAATGGGAACTGGGGCACTGGGAATTGGTCTGTCACTGTGGTGGTCACACAGATCATCCACAACAGAAAACGTGGCAGTGTAGCAGAAGAAGGAGACGGAGATGGGGACTCTTTCTCTTCTCCTGTTACACATCGTACTCTGGCTGCCTGTGAGGGGACGATTAGAACTGCGTGGGCACTGGGGAAAATTGGGCACTGGGGAAAACTGGACACTGGGGCAAACTAGGCACTGGGGGAAAGTGGGCGAATTGGGCAGATTGAGAACTGGGGTAAAGTAAGCACTGTGGGAAAGTGAGAAACTAGGAAAGATTCGGAACTGAGGGAGAGTTGGCACTGGGGCAGCAAATAACGACTCTCTTTCGTGTAGAGTTCGTTTGGCTGGTCTTTTAACTGTGGTGGTGATTCACCCGGTAACAGATCTAGCTACAGAGGGTGCATCGGTGTTTATTGAAGGAGTCATTTTTATTTTTGAATTCTTTAATAAACACATCGTTCTCTGGAATCTTGCGAGGGGACGAGCAGAATAGTGGGTTCGTTGGAGCCAATCGGGACTGGGGGGACAGATTATGATTCTCTTTGGTGGGGAGTCAATGGGGCTTGACTTGTCGCTGTGGTGGTGATTCACCCAGTGGCAGAGCGCAGCCGTGTTTCGCCTGCTCCGAAGATTCGCAATATCATTGTGTTGATCTTCGGAACAGGCCAAACACATCGTTCTCTGGCATCCAGCGAGGGAACGAGCGGAACTGTGGGCAAAGTGGGCTCTGGGGGAATGATGGTTTTTTGATTATGGATGCTTTTTCGGGGTTCATGTTTGGGCATATACACACATGCACGGATGAATTCATAGCGAGCACAGCAAGTGTGGGCAAGGAAGATACCGCGATATTTGCGGTATCTTCTTCCTTCGCACTTGTCAATGAGGGTTGGGAAGCTATAGCTTCGGTGGGCACTAGGGGGATATAGCTTTATAAAGCTTATAGAGGGCTCAAGCGCAGTGGTGTAGGGTAGATGGAAGGCAGGAGCGGATATC